AAGAAAACTTCAAATAAGATAGAAATATCTGTTACCTCTGTTAACCTGCTGCCTGCTAGATGACATTAAAACATCATCAGATCAGCTTTGTCCAAAACTGCTGTAGTGTCTGTAAAATTCTAACACGTCTGCTTCTGAAAGCCCAAAAGTGCTCTTTTAGGGGGGAAAAATTCAAAATGCAACTCTGCAGCTCAGATGAAAAACGTAGATCACCAGTCTTTGGTGTGTAGAACTGGATGGGACCTGAGTCACCATAGAGACCAGTCTGCTCTGGGAAAAGACCAATCACAAGAAGCTAGTCAAAAAAACAGGTAACGTGTTACTGAAGTCTTCTGTCATTTTTGGACTGAATGGAAAGATGCACGCAAGCTATTCTTTGTACAATCACTGTAAGACTATTCTTTTTTACACAACCAATTACCTGTAAACTCGGTGCCCTCTTGAATCTCTGTAACATTTGTATACTCAGTCGGAACAGTTGGATTCCATTCTTCAAATAAATGTTCAAAAATAAATGGCTCACTCTCACATATTTTTTGTATTTCTTGATGCCCCGTGGAGACACATCAATCTGAATGCCATCGTCATGATTATTTAGTCAAAAGAAATACACTTTTTGGTATGCAATTACAAATGTAAAACCTCCTCCCCCTTTATCAAACTTGAAGACCAAAACCACATAATCAACTTCTTTAAAGCCTTAAGTCGCTGAGCAAATATCTTCTCATTTTAGCTTCTCAGTGGCAGTCCTCTCTGTGTTTTGCATTTCTTAACTTAATGTTGGCTATACCCTTTATATATCTGGAGCGTTGATATACATGTCGTTTTTATTGAATAAGGCTGGGAGGGATGCAGATTTAGACTATTTGCAGTTGGAATAAGCTTTGCTGTTGTCTGGTGCTTTGTATTTTTCGCTTCTACTTTCTGCTTTTTGAAAATTTCCCTTCACAGTGGGACAGAAACATCCCAGGAGGTAACCTCCATTTAAAAAAAAGTGACTTTGACTGAAACTGTCAGAGTCCAGGTGCTTTCCATTACCAAAAAAAGATTTCCAAACATGCCAGCATGCTTTATTGCATCATATCCAACGCGTGAGAGATTTTTTTCTTTTCTGTGAGTTATCCACATACAGTATTTATGAAAGAAAAGTATGGGGCTCATCAAAGTAAAATTTCTTATTCTTTAATTTGCAGGAAAAAACACTAAAAGTGCTTCTGTTCCACTTTTTCCCCCATGACAAGCTAACACATTAAACATGTGGCCACAGGAGGGAGACAAAACTTCTTCATGACAGGTTTAAGATGAACAGAACTGGGAATTTTTCCCCACCCTAAACAGTCTAACTGTTCTTTTCTCCCTGTGTGTAAGACATGTGACAGTTACAGTTAAAATATCCATGCAATGTAAACAGGAATAGTACAGATGAAAGAGAGCTCCTGTCTAAAAGATCTCAACATTAGAAACTATTATATCTAGACATATTTACATTAAAAAAAATGTCTACATATAATAGCCACATGTAATTGACTATTCACTCTAACACTGCTCACACACACTGAGTAAAGTCACTGATGTTTAAAGTTCAACTTTTTTCTTTTTTTTTTTTTTTTTGGTAGAAGCCTCAGTCCCAACAATGCTACTCCAAGGATTTTTTCACTTAACAATCTAAATTAATATAACTGTGAAAAGACAAATCAATGTGGTGGAGAGCACATCAGATCATAACCAATTGGTTTACAAATCTAATAAGTGTCTATGGGAAGTGAAGTCTGCCCGGATGATTCAACCACAGACCATCAAATTGCTCTCTGATGCAGCTGACCCAGAACTAAACATTTAGCATAACAAATTGTCAGACATATGTCAGGCAGAATCGGCACTGACTTACTTTATAACTCAAATAGTTATTTACCACATTTACACCAATTACTTTCTATCGCGTGCGCTTTAAAAAAGGGAAAATTTTGACCTACAGGTTCAATTCCTCAATTTTAAATGCCATAACTGCTAATTTAATTGTTAATATTTCATTAACTTCAATTGACCCTGACCTTTTTTTTGTTGTTGTTGTTTTAACAATAATTTTAAGACATTCTTATACCCCCAAAACTCTCCATTTAAGCTATTTTCTCTGTGTTCTTTCCTATGTAGGGTTTTGGAGCACTAAAAATATAACACCTCTTAGTCTTGGACACTTACTTTGTGTATATAAAACACAGAAATAGGCTATTTTGGGGTCAACGAGTGATTAGAAGTTAAATTGAAATCTTATTACTCTCTTATTACTCTCTTGAAAACTCTTTCTATTCTTTTTGTGTCCCGGCAGACCCTCTTTTCAGTGTTTCACTGGCACTTTACTCATGCTTTACTTTCTTTGGTAACAGAGCCCATCATTTTAGAGCACCTTTTTCCCTACACAAAGAAAACGTCCTTGAAGGAGACAGCCATTTAGACGGAGATCATATAAGAGAGTATATGATCACTTTGTCAGACCAATGTAAAGGCACACAATCACAAATCTTGACACTGATGTTTCTGATATAGGACACAGTTCACTGAGCTCCAACAATAATCACCCTTGAGCTTTCCGTCCAGGGTTTTTTTTTTCCCCTTGAATATATATGGTTAAGCCAATTGGCTTGACAGTTTACACTGTGTGTCTATGTGCATGTATGTTTCTTTTTTATTCCAGGTGAATTCAATGACAGGAGCTCCTCTCCTTTCAGTGGGTTTCTTCTTTTGTCTCTCTCCATTCAGGGCCTCACATTTCTCTTTCAGCTGCTCTCAGTTCTCAGAGAGAAGTCGTTCTCTCACTGCAGGGTCCTCTCGTCCACCTTTCTTCTCCTCAGCTGCTGCTGACACTTACATCTGCCTGTCTATATTTCTTTTTTTTTTCTCCCTGTTGTAACGTTTATCTGTCAGCCTCTTTTTTTTCCCCGCGCCTCACAGTCTCTCAATGTCACTCAGTGACATTGTCCCGACTTGGCAGTTTCTTTTTTTCTCCTGCTGGTAATTCAATTAACAAGATGCCATCTCCCCAATTAAGCTTTCCAATTACAGCTCCACTCTCGGTCCGAACGAGAGGCAGTCCTCGTTTGTTGAAGGTTTTTCTCTTTGTGCTGGATGTTAAATTAAATTGAACTCGCAGCTTGTGTGATAAGACCCGCTCATCATCATAAAAAGAAAGAGGAAAATTCATTTGGAAAAAAACGAGAGAATTATGTTCGAATAATGTTACTTCTATTCATTAGTGCTTCATGAGTTTAGGCTTACATGTTCACTTCAATTGCACCTCACCCCCCCTGTTTTGCTCCTCATCCTCAGTGGGCCTGCACGTGCACTTAATGGCTTTAGTGAGCTGGCCGATGCCGGGCGCAGCTTGGTCCTACAAAGTTCGGAACACTCCAAATTCATCCAGCTGCACCAATCCAAGAATTGATATGTGGGTAATAATTTTAAAGAACTTTATAAGTGGGATCATATTTGTGTAAACTGGAAAAAAGTTGGAAAGACTCATGCATAAGCATTTTATTATACTATGATCGTCTTCTACATTCGCTGATTTATTCGCAGTTTGTTTAGTTTTTTTGCTCCTCTCGAGAAATACAAATAGCTTTATCAAAGCTATTATACTGACTAAAACGTGAATGTGTAAAGTTGTACAACTGACGTCCCTGTTCGGATGTTTGTTTGCAACACTATTCACTTAAAAGTTGAAAAAGGGACTCAAAGTGCAAGAGATTTTTCTGCACAAAGATCATAGATCGAGCACTATGGAACTCCCTAAAACCCCAAGATTCATAACTAAAGTTAATGTGGGAAGTGAATGAAATCATCATTAACAAGCTCCAACACAACAGCTTTCAATGCAAAATTTGAATAAGACAATTGTTCAAATGTAGCAAAATCTATGTCAGCTAGTAATTGCAAATGAACTACACTTCAGGAAAAAAAAAATACATTCCCTTGTCAGGATCCTGTATAGACTATTTATACAAACACATCATTCTCTCCACAATTGGGTACAGATCCATTTCTATCAGGACTTTCCATCAAAATGAATTTCTTTTTTTTAAAACCATTTAAAAAAAAACATCAAAGCTTAAAGAATGACTGTAAACAGGCAGCAGTAACACGGTTCCACACATCACCAAACGCCTCTGAAATCAGCTTGTTCCCTTAAAGAAAAGTTAAGTTTAATACTCTGTTTTAGAGTGTAGTGTTTTAATGAAGATTTCTTCCCTTCAAACCTTTAACTTTCACACTGAGAAAAAAAAAGGAAAGAAAAAGTGTTTATTTGCATTTTTTCATTCCTTGCAGCTATCATAAGCCTTACCCCAACCATTTGTAAGGTGGTTCACTTCCACTAATCCTGATAAGACGGTATAATCTGTGAAAAAAAACAGGGTGTTAAAAATGCATAAAGAAAGATAGAAAAACTAAATATTTGCCAAATGTTAAAGGTATTGTGTATACTCATGTCAGTCTTAACGTATGCAGGTAATTGTACACATGATGAAACCATCATAAGTAAATGCAGCTAATAAATATGAACCAGGGAGCTAATATTGCTCATCTGAAACAACTGATAATTAACACAGACTACATGTCATCACCCAAAATGCACCGAGGGACTGGGCACCAATGCTGTTATTCTGGACAAACCCGGGCCCTTGTCTACCTTTCAACCTTGATTATGTTTGGTGTTTGTCAGTGTAATTTTGTGGGAACCAGCAGCAGGTGCACGGCGCTGATTAGAATCTGGCCCGGTCACGTGATGATGACTCATCGAAAACACATGCGAGACGAGCAGGAAGAGGAAGCGGGGGGGGGGGGG